GACGTCTCTGAGGCTCCTTTGGTTTGTGTGGCGAAGTGGCGAAGCTGGGCATTTTCATTTATTCCGTAAATATTTTTGAATGCCTAGCGCTAGGAGTATGGATATTTGGACGCTAGGATGTATTGCGGTCCTGTGTCATGAAGTTTTCTATCTACCAAATTCTATGCATTTAATTATGTGTCAAAGGATTTTATCCCGCTGCGTGCATTGGTAGTAAGAACATGTGATTTGGAGCCAGTAATTTACTTAAGCTAATTTGGAAGCCTATTTTTATTCCCAAATAACAGGTTTATTACAGGTTTTTTGTTTTGTTTTGTTTTGTTTTGTTTTTTAAATCTATTCTCCTCCTAAGCTCCTTGCCATCATTGACCTCTCTCCAGGACATTCTTCTACTTTTTCTTTGGCTACTTGAGGACTGGCTCCCAGCTACCCCTCCACGTGGCGCCTCCCTTGATGGTTTGTGTCACATCTATGCTGTTTGCCCAGCTTCATCTCGGAGCCTCAACTTTCTTAACCCTATTGACCTTCAACTGCTCTCTATTGCATCTGTGACTGGTTAGACCCAGCTTTCAAGCTTCCAAGAATTTCCAGCTTCTAGAGCTGAAATCCACCACTTTCCCTTTCTGACATCTTGGTAGGTTACTCTTCCTATTGTCTTCTACCAATGCAGGCTACTCTTCTTTTCTGATATCGCAGCTTAACAGCCACTAGCATTTAATTAATCACTGCTTCCTATATGCCAGGGACTGGTCGAAGCTCTTTGCAAACTATCTAATGCACCATCCAACAACCCTCTCCTGCCCAGTTCAGACACGGACAGAGCTGGGATTTACACCCGGTTTCTATAACTCCAAATGCAAATCTTTTACCACGGTTTTAATGCCTCACACCCTCTTAATGCACACTCCCATTTCTTTTTTATGTGCCTCCTTCCCTACGGTCAGGAGCCTCAGTTACATTCTTGCTGGCACTGCCGAGTTCCTTCTTTCTTGGATTTTCCGATGTCTACCCTGTGTTAAACTTCATTTCTGAATAAGACTGATAGCTGATTTCTCCACTTGCAACTGGTAAACATCACTGTAGAATGGTGATTTACAGATTGCATTTCAAGACTCTGGTTGTAAGCCAGTCTACTGCCTTGGCAAATACATCCAAAATATCAATGAACGTAGCTCCCATTGCGTCTAGTAGATAGGGCTGAATGCTCTTTTGGGAAATTTTTGTTATACTTAATTTTTGTTCTACATTTGGGAAACAGATGTATGACAGGGTGGTGATATAAAATGAGATACCACCTTCCACCAGTCAGAATGGTTACCATCAAAAAGACAGTAAGTATGGGTGAGGTGGTGAAGGAAGGGGAATCCTTAATCACTGTTGGTGGAAATGTAAATGGTGCATCCACCGTGGAAAACAATATGGAGGTTCCTCACAAATTTAAAAATAGAAATACCATATGATCCATATAATCTGGACATTTACCGAGTGAAAACAAATAGGGATCCTTTGTTTATTGGAGCATTGTTTACAAAGGGATCCTTTGTTTATTGTTTATTGCAGCATTGTTTATAATAGCCAAAAATATATGGAAGCAACCCAAGTGTCCATCAATCGATAAATGAAGAGGGGATCTTGGGTGGCTCAGGTGGTTTAGCAACCAACTCTTGATTTCAGTTGTTGGATCGAGGCATGCCTTGGGCTCTGCACCAAGTGTGGAGCCTGTTTAAGATTCTGTCTCTTTCCTTCTGTCCCTCTCCCTGACTCATGCTCTCTGTCTAAAACAATAATAAAAATTAAAAAAAAATAGATAAATGAAGATGTGGTATACATGCGTAATGGAATATTACTCCGTCATAAAAAAGAATTAAATCTTGCCATGGTGACAAAATGGTTGGATCTTGAGGACATTACGCTAAGTGAAATGAAACAGAAAAACAAATATCACATGACTTCACTTATGTCAGGAATCAGAAAAGCAAAACAAATGAGTGAACAAACAAAAACAGGAATAGACTCACACATACAGAGAACAAACTGGTAGTTGTCAGGGGGGCAGGGGGGTGGGGGGTGAAATAGATGAAAGGGATTAAGAGGTACAAGCTTCCAATTATAAAATGAATTAAGTCACAGGGATGAAATATAGTCAGGAAATATTGGAAATATAGGAAGTATAGTCATTAATATTGTAATAAGTTTGTATGGTACAAATAAACAAATAAGTTCGTATGGTAACTACACTTAATCTGATGAGTATTTCATAACGTTGGATCACTAAGTTGTACACCTGAAATGAATGTAATACTGTATGCAGACTATACTTGAATTAAAAATAATTTTCAGGGGCACCTGAGTGGCTCAGTTGGTTAAGCGTCCGACTTTGGCTCAGGTTATGATCTCTCTGTTTGTGAGTTTGAGCCCCCCATTGGGCTGTGTGCTGACAGCCCGGAACCTGGAGCCTGCTTCGGCTTCTGTGTCTCCCTCTCTCTCTGCCCCTCCCTCTCCACCCCTTCCGCAGCTCATGCTCTGTCTCTGTCTCTCAAAAATGAATAGACGTTAAAAAAAATTGTTTTTAATCAAAAAACTAATTTACAAAGTAAATAAAATGTATTTATGTGTTTATGGGTTGAAAATACACTTAAAAAGTAACTGCTGTAAGGTCACCCGGGTAGCTCAGTCCGTGGAGCCACCAACTCGATTTCAGCTCAGGTCACGATCCCAGGGTTGTGGGATCGAGCCCCACATCGGGCTCCATGCTGAGCACGGAGTCTGCTGAAGATTCTCTTTTTCTCTCCCGGTTCCCCTCCCTCTCCCTGTCTTTCTCTCTCTCCCAAAAAAAAAAAAAAAAAAAAAAAAAAAATAGAATAAAAAAAAAATAAAAGGAACTGCCATAGAAAGTCCTTGTGACTAAGATTATGGGTCCCACCATAACGTGACAACATGGCTTTTTCACTGAACGTCCTTTTTTTTTACGTAGCCCTTGACCAGCTGGTCCTCGCCTTCTCTGCGCCAAGTCATGTTTGGCCCTCTTACGCATAGCATGGAGCCCTTCTATTATTAAGATACCACCACTACTTTCCTGCCTGTCTCATGATTTACTGGCACTTTCTTTTTCCCTGTGTATTTTGGAGAACACAGCTTTACGTTAGGAATACAACACAAGCCCTGTGAGTAGCTTGAGAACCCCGCTGACTATGTTCTGCTGTCTCATCCCGTATCCCTTACTCCCTCACTTCTCCACCATGGCTCCAGTTCATTGGTCTTCTTGCCTGTGCCACCTGCGTTTGGAATGTTTTGCCCCCCCACCCCCCCCATAAGTGTCTCACTCTCACCTGGCTGACGGGCTATCCTGTGAAAGATATCATCTCTTAAGCCGATGCCATTTTTCTCCCTTGTTGTGTCCCCATAGCCCTTTTCTGGTTTGTTTTCACTCTCTAATGACCCCTTCTGGTTCGTCATACAGTTGGCTGCGTGCAAGCCATGGTTTTACCCCTAGGCAATAAACATTTAGGTTTGTTCTGAGTCTTCTTGTCCTTAGTATCCTTAGCGTCCTTAGTATCTCCCACCCGTCGGGAGAGGCAACACATGGCCGTAGGAAGACGCAACACACAACTTAGGTCCTTTTGGCCCCATGGCAACAAACCTCTGTGACTACCACAGATTAGACCTGGCTCTCAGAGGGGTGCAGAAAGGACATAGAGTGCCCATAGAGCAGCATCAGGCGTTTCTCTGCAGTGAGAATAGTCCTTCCAGAATCCACACATGTGTCCAAGGGAAATCTCTTTTGGTCCCTCAAGTGAGAGATGCTGATCGAGGGAAGTAGTTAGCCCCACCCAGGCAAGTGCTGGAGCTGCCCCAGCTTAGAAGCCCCAGGTTCCCATAAGGAACCGGCATCTTCTGGAACAGTCTCTAGGTTAGCTGCCAGGGCTATGCCCTGATAGACGAGTCATAACACCTTCTTCATTTATACTTCCCCTTTGTGGGGATGCAATTTCCCAGTTAGGGGTCACTTTAACCATAAACAGTGTTGCCTAGAAACACAACTGACTCTCTGCCTTTTATCAGCTATCCCAGCAGAACAGAGATAGAAAGTTAATCTAGTGACAAATGTGCCTGTAGAGAACGAGCAAGGGTTCTGTGAACCCCTTCACCACAGAGGACAGCCAATATCTATTGAGTATCGATTACCGAAATTGTTTTTCAGGGGTTGTATCATCCTATTCTTGCAATAATTTCGAAAATATTCTCTCTGTATGTTTTACAGATGAGGAAACTGAGGTCCAGAGAGGTTCAATAACGTCCGAGGTAATTGTTGAGACTAGTAAGCTATAGAACGAAGCTTTACATTCTCATTTGTCTGGCTTCAAAGCTTGTGTTCTTTTTTTTTTTAATAACTCGCTGATGAACTTAGTGTTGGGCAAGAGCCATGCAATACATACTGGTTAGCATTAACAAGCTTTCTTTTGGACTATCCTAATACTGGCACCTGCCGTATTTTAAGTAAGCTCTCCCCACTACCCCCCCAAGACACAGATGGGTTTGTCATGTCTAAAATCCAGAGTGATTTAAGTAAAATATGATGTTTGTTTTGAAAACAACCTCATGGCAAACAAGCTGAACGAAACTAAAACTTTCAATCAATGTCTTTGTGTCAGGACAGTTACTCTTAGCCTCAGTTTCTTTGCAGAATAAAGGGATTGTGTTTCATGATCTCCACAGGCTTTCCCACCTTGACTGTCCGGGAAGAACAAAGTCTCCTTCCTTTCTGCTACCCCTGGCAGGCCTAGATGGCCAAGTAAGAAGCAAAAGTGAAACTAGTTGAAATGATTATTTTTCCCCCTTTCATTTTTTATCATTTGGTGTTCTCACCAGGAGCGTCATGGGGCACCTGGGTGATGCAGTCAGTTCAGCATCAGACTCTTGATCTCAGCCTGGGGCGTGATCTCACAGTTTGTGAGTTCGAGCCCCACATCGGGCTCTGTGCTGATGGTGCAGAGCCTGTTTGGGATTCAGTCTCTCCCTCTCTCTGCCCCTCCCCTGCTTGTGCTCTCTCTCTCTCAAAATAAATAAACAAACTTAAAATTAAAACAGCAAAAAGGAGTGTCTTGCTTTCGGATAAGGCTGTGGTATGAACCAAACATTTAACAGGGATAATTTTCAAAGTATGTGGTCTTGTGCCTCTATAAGAAAACAAAGACCATAGTCCAGGGAGTGAGTGCACCATTCAGTGCAACTCTAGAACCTCCCTCTCAAGCACAATCAATGTCTCACGGCGGGTATTTTGGGCGGAACTAGTATTTATTTTGAAAGGTGATTACCCTCGGGTATTTTGGGTGGAACTAGTATTTATTTTGAAAGGTGATTACCCTTACCGTATGTAAGAGCCTGGGCTTTGTAACTGTATTCAGAAAATAAATTTTATAGGCAGAGTCGCATCAGAAACTACTTTTTCAAATTTTCTAAGCTGAAACCCCAAAGACTTTTCTGTTCATACAAGGCCTTACCTTCATCGTCAGTAAGAAAGCCAGGCATCTAGTTATTTTAACTTGGTTACAAATATAATGTTAAAAAAAAAAAAAAAGTCTAGCAACGGGTTTTCTTGAATGAACCAGAGCATTAAATACTAGTTTTAATTAAAGATTATTATTTCACTCTCCTAAACCTCGGCGAGATTCGTCATTAGGAAACGTACATGCCAGAGGTCATTTACAGGCTCATTCTAAGATAGGATCAGGGATTTAAATTTCTCTTTCAAATCTATTCTTAGTTCATCAATTTAAGATTTTAAGCTCTTATAAATTGCTTACTTCTTCTTCTTTTTTTTTAAATCACATTTGTCCCAATTCCCTCCACAGGACAGCATCGGGAATAGGCAGATTTTTGTTATTTTTTAAAAAAATATTAACTTAGTTTTTAGAAGTACTAATATTTTTGTGTAATCAAATTTGCCAAGAATTTTCTTTATGATGTCTTTAATCGCTTCATGCGCGGAAAAGACTCCACCACGCTGGGGCCATATAGCTATCTCTATTTTCTTTGTATTCCATTAAAAAAAAAATGAACACTGAATGTTCTCTCCTTAAATATTCCATCCAGTTAGATACTGGAAGTTTTCCTTTTAAAAACTATTCTGGCTGACGGTTGCACCACAACAATAATCCAAACTTTATTAGCGGCAACTTTCGCGAATTCAGGCATTGATGCCGACATCTGTGGTTGACCTGGGTCTTAATTGATCTGCCTGTGCAATTGACATGCTGCTGTCAATGAGGATGCCGGCAAAGATTATTGGATATGCAAATAACAAGTCAATATCTGACACTGTGGCAAGCTCAGATTTGACTATATGTTAATTCAATACAAACCTACTTAAGTTCCTGCTGGGTGGCTATCCTGAAAACTAAACTTATTAGGTGATGCAGAACCGGCAAAGGTGAATGAAACACAGCGCTTACTCTTAAGACATTCACTATCTAGCGAGGAAGCTAGATATATAACAGATAATGAAAAAAAAAAAAAAAAACCAAACCCAAAACTTCGACGGTATCCAAAGTTCTTTGGGGGCCCAAAGGTTGTAATTAAAGTCAGATCTAAATTCTCTTATCTTCAGCTATTTTCATTGGGGTATAACCTAAACATCACATTCATTGTGCTGTTAGGAAGGATGTCAAAACTGGACATCCTCGTTTCTTCTCTTCAAAGCATTATAGGGTCAATCCAGAGGCGCAACATCTCAGAATTCTGCAGTGGGCCACTGGGTTTTCTAAATGTCTTGCCGTATATCTCTTCTCAAGGTTGGCGTTCCAATGAAACGGCCAACCCGAGGATCTCCAGGCTTTCCCTGCGCCTGGGGACAGCTTGAGTGCATGCAGTCTCTAAGTAGTCTAGCTTAGTGACTGTCAACTGTGTCCTGTGTGGTCCAGTACCGTGTTAATGAAGGCCAGGGCAAACACTAAGATGAGCGAAGGGTATTTCGGTTCTTGCCCCGGCCCAAACGTGTTTCCAAAAAGAAGAGCTCAAGAGATACGAAGTCTTCATCACTGATCATGATACATTTGCAATAGCTGAAGCAATTAGAAGCTACCAGCATGGACCCACGTTCAGACCCTCTGGACTTGGCAAGAGGAGCCATCAGTTCTGGCTATTGACTCTGTTCCTGGCCCTTTGCTGGGTGCTGGAGAGAGATATTCATCAGACACAAATCTACACTTGAGCTTTCTTGCAACACAGGGAGCAAGGGTTTGAGCATTTCTGGAAAAAAAATGAACCCTCTCTCAGTGTTCACTTAAGGCAGAGAAATACTTAGACTATTTTGAACTAAGGAACCGTATTATTCTGTGAAATTCATCCACCCTGTACCACATAAGACAACATTTATCATTAATTAAAGGATGGAGTGATAATCTCATCTAAGCTTGGGTGTCTATATGTTCCTGAGAAAATGGGAAGTGAAATTTGAACAAGATTCTGGAGAATTAAAAAGAATCTGACAAATTCAAAATTCAATCATTCCCTTGGAGTTTTAGTTAGACTGTTAGTCTTTCTATCGTTTAAATTTTCCAGAAGATAAGTTGACCATTCATATCGGCTGCACTTAGCATCCGTATGGTTTTTTATTGCATTTATTTGTGAGGTATATGTATCAAATTTTAAATCACTCAGGTAAACCATAACTCCTATCAATTTATTTCCTATTTTTTTTTTAAATATATGTGATTTAAGGGTTTGGTAAAGAATAAAACTTTGTCCAAAAATTTATGAAACTTCAGAGAATTGATTATCTCAGGCAGTTTTAAGTACGGTGATGAGAATTTGAAAGATACAAATGTTGGATTTCAATTTGGTTATCTTTTGCATTTCAGCCATGTAGTGTAAAAAGCCCTCCACCAGACAGCGAGAAGGGACCTTTGTGCCACATGCTGTGCTCCTGGCCTGTCTTCTGGGTTCATAGGTTCATAGGAGGAACACCCTGGAAACTGCAATGCAATGAAAGAGAGCTAAAATATTTCATCAAAAGGGTATAATTACTTCTGATCAAATGCAGCCTCCCAACTGGCTAGGCTACAGCTTTGGAAAGCCATTCCAAAGCAGATGAAGAGGGATAATCTCAACACTGTCCAACGCTCTTGGCTCATTTCCCCTCGAATATGTTTGTCACCACCCTTATTTCAGGCCTTGCATACATGGGGCCGCACTCTCGGCTTGGCAATCTTTTGGAAGATTCTATGGAGACCCTTTATTGCTCCTAGTGCCTTACGGGGCTTTGGCTTACGTTGAGTTCACTTAGCGCCTCATAGTTTGGAAGTCTAATAATGACCATAATTGTTATTGTTTCCTTCGCATGTCATCCGTGAGCCATATTTGGCTTACTTGAAACTTTTTCTGAGCTTACTACATTTTAACTTCAAGGAGATGCTCGCGAATCACTGGACTGCATCCCCCCCCCCCCCCCCCCCCCCCCAGATAATACACCTACTGAAGTCATCTTTTTATACTGTGTCAGTTGCCCCCTCCACATTTTCATAGCCTGTGTGGTTGCATCTCTGATTTGCTTTCCTCCTACTCAATGTTCCTCCATGGTTCTGACTCACTAACCAGGCACAGAGGATTTTCAACATCCCTGAGTTGGACAGAGCTTTGATTTGTGTTTAATCTCCCCAGGAGAGCTAAAAAGGCATTTTCTACAACCATTTCAAAAATCCACAGTGCAATTACTAATTACAGATATTACAGGTATGATGGTCCTAGCAGTTAAAATTTTTTTTGCTCTATATAATCATTTAGTTTCAAGTAATGCTACCTCATTGACTTCTTTTTTTTCTTGTTTTAATGAAAGCTGCCTTCAAGTTCCCATCTCTTTAACTTAGACACGATGTTCCTCATTTATTTTGGGGCTCTGTCTTTTTTCCTTTGCACCTTATATGAGTGTCCCAGGGACGATTCTTACAAACTTCGGTCTTTGGGTCACAGTGTAAGCAGATATTCTAACAGCTTTTACAAGCATAGTCCCACTGAGGCACAGGGGCTGGGAGCTTGAGCCCCTGGGAGTAGCTTCCTTAAGGTACATCCAGAAGCCATCCCATGAAAGGGGCGCCTGGGTGGCTCAGTCGGTTAAGCGGCCGACTTCAGCTCAGGTCACGATCTCATGGTCTGTGAGTTCGAGTCCCGCGTCGGGCTCTGGGCTGATGGCTCAGAGCCTGGAGCCTGCTTCCGATTCTGTGTCTCCCTCTCTCTCTGCCCCTCCCCCGTTCATGCTCTGTCTCTGTCTCAACAATAAATAAAAAAACGTTAAAAAAATTAAAAAAAAAGAAGCCATCCCATGAGGTCCAGATACTACCCTGGGGCACTGTTAAGGGATGGACTATGACCCTGAGGTTTTATATGAACTATTTCCAAATCTGGGGAAGACCACACAAGCTGGCTTCTGCCCTAGCATCTTTTCAGCACCTTTTCCTTTCACAAATAACCCACTTCACCTGACCCCAGTGGATCTTCAGATACTTAGTGTTGCCTCACATTCTGGAAGAAATTGGAAACACATGCTAAAACAATGTCTTTTTTTTTTTTTTAATTTTTTTACATAAATCTTGCATAATAGCCCTACCCCAAACAATTTCATGGCACAGTATGCCAGCTGCCTTCAGACCTACAGCTGAGCAACCCGGCCTTTCTTAGCCCCCAGGCCACCACTCCTTGGTGTCTAATTTCCCTCTGCTTTATCTTTACCGCACCCTCAGCAACAAATCTATTTCTTCTCTGTATCCTTTTTCTCCATTTTTAATTTTCTACGTCTTGTCCCCGCAAGATAAAGTGACTTGCAAGTCACATACCCTAAAAGTGAAATTCTTGCGGTTGCCAAGAAATTAAATATGCATACATTCAACACGTCAAAGTAAAAGGTGGGGAGTATGGGTGTGAGTGTGTTCATGCATTGATTCAACAAACATTAACTGAGCATCTACAATGTGCCAAGAAGTTCTCCAACCTGTGAAATAAATGAGTCAATAAGATGGAATCCTTGCCCTCAAGGAATTTACAGTGTTTTGGGAGAGACTGAGGACAAATTAACTGGCAATGAGAGCACTGACTTCCGAGTCACAGACATAAGCAGGGGGTGGAGGGGTGACGGTGGAGTCATTGGGGGGAGCTCTTTTTTTCACCGGGAGAAATTGCAGAGACTTTCAGAAAGAAGCCAAGTCTGAGGTGCACCAGGAGGATCATGCAGTGAGAGGTATGGCGGGAGGGCTGTGTTCCAGCAGAGTCAGGGATATGTGGCAGGATCAAGGAATTAGAGAAAAAAGTATCCTATCCTTCCCCAAAACTCAAAGTGCTTCTCTCTGGCTGAAACATGTCCTGCAAAGTGGGGCATGTTTGAACGGAAGCCTGTGAAACCAAAGGACAGGGGAAGGAGTGAGGAAAGTTCCTCTGACACCTTACAAGACCCAAATGCCACCCACCCACAATTCAAGGACAAGTGCTGTCTGAAAAATCTGTTCTGTGAAGCCATTCCTTCCCTCCTTTGAGCAAAAGTGCCGGCTGGTTGCATAATTTTTCCAGAAACTCTCAGGTAACTACCTTCAGTCAATTTTAGTCACAAGGCAGATCCATTTCAGTAACTGAAATACGCAAGCCTGTGTAATAGTCAAAACAGAGAACTTCCGTTAAAGCCTTCTCGCTCTTTCGGTAAGCAGTGGGTGTGGTTGGCTTCTCCACGAGGCTTGAGCTTTGCTTCTGCGCACCCTTCCTGGCCTTGGTTTCCACCCCAGCGTTCAGGGATGGGGTAGTGAGTTGGTTTTCACAGGATCTGGCTGTGCGTGCTCTGGGCTTGGTGCATGTTCGGGGCTGACACTTCTGTAGGGGATGATTGAGTGTCCCTTAGAAACCTCACTGAGCACATTTGACTGTGCTTCCCAGCCATGGGCAAAGCGTGTCTTCAAGTCAGCAATTTCTTCTTCCTTTTCAGTCACATACTCCTCCTCACCACTACCCTATCCCTTCTGGAAACCATCCCGGGCACGATGGGCTCCTGGCCACGTTTCGTCCTGGAGCAACCCATCCGGTCAATGAGACACAGTGAACCATATCACTCCACGGCCTATCCTTGGTCACGGAGCCACTTCCCAGTGAAGGCTGAGGCTCTGCCCTGTTGCCTCAGCCCTTTCCTTCCTAGCTGCCATCTGTGCGTCAGTGTGCCGTGATCTGCAAAATCCAAGGAACGCACATCAAGGGCCCTGGGTGATCCCCCTTCGGTTTTCTTTTCCTAGTGAGGGGAGGCGAGGTACAACGCCATGTCGCTTCAGGGACTTTCTCCTTTCCTTTCCCAGGCCTCAGCCATGTCCTACTCTGCACGCGGGACTAAGGCTTGGCATCGATTTTTGACCACCTTCTTTGTAACCCTTGGTTCTTTATTTTAAAAAAACAGCCAAACTTTTCCACCGAATTTTTTTCTCGACCTTTTGGAATCTGGATGAAAACAGGAACCCTGTTTTGCCGTCTTGTTATACACCACATTTGTATTTACATAAAAGAGTTTTTGCTCTATCTTGGTAAAGCGGGGAT